GAAATATTTCAGTTGGTGTGCAATGAATCTGAAATATATGAAAGTTTAATTTTTATCATTACATTATGGAAAATAATGACCTTTATCACAATATGCTAATTTTTTGAGAAGGACCTGTACAATCCTGATGTTCCTGATCGTTTTGACTGATGAAGCCTTCTTGATTGAAAGTGAAACGTTTCAGCACAAACAACTGTCCAGATGACCCGACTGAAAAATGTTGGGTCTTTTCAGACCCTTACTAAAGCCGTCTTGGTGCGGTGTAGTAGTTTAAATCCTTACTGAAAAATCTGAAAAATGTTATTTACATTCAAAAACTTGGTTAGTTGAATAAAAACTATTTTCTCCAAGATTTTAGAAAGAAATTGAAGTGGTACATGTAGTGGAACGAAATCATGTACACAGGCTCCCAGTTATATCAAACAATAGCAAAAATATAAAGTGTAAAAAGAAACCGTAAATAAGGATCCAAGATATAAACTAAGATGCGTTAAACAAACGTCAAACGGTACACTAAAAGATCCAATATATGCCAGTCACCAATAGTACAACACAATATACTGAACAGCAGCACGATTCTTATATGTTCTGTTCGGCTATAAATTTACACGCTTAATGTGAGCGCTAACAAACTAGGATTTATTCAAAGCATGCAACAAAAAAAATAAAGAAACAAAAAGGCGCCAAAAATGGGGAGGGGGGGAAAAAAAAAAAAAAAAAAAAAAAAAAAAAACAATTCTAGCAGCATGGTCCTACTGGTAGAGTGGTTCTGATGACTGAGGTTATCTTAACATGGTCCAGTTAGCAGCATGATAAAAATGTTGCTGATCAATTTCAATTATATTCAATTTGATTTTTCAGTATCAAATGGTTAAAAATGTTTAGAGTTTAAGTTATTTTTTCCCCAGCCAAATTGATGCACTTCAAGGCTTTTCTGTTACAGACTTTAAAACAATGTTAATCTTTGTTGCAAGTTAATCTATATTTCTCTTTTTAATGTTAAGGATACAATGTTATGCAGAGGTGTACTCATAATTTTATAGAAAAATTTTACTACAAACCGGATCCCAAAAAAGTTGGGACAAGTAGAAATAAGTGGCTGGAAAATGGCAATTGAGCATATAACGAACAGCTGGAAGACCAATTAGGTCAATTAACAACACGATTGGGTATAAAAAAAGCTTCTCAGAGTGTCAGTGTCTCTCAGAAGCCAAGATGGTAAGAGGATCACCAATTCCACCATTGTTGCGCAGAAAGAGTGCAGCAATACCAGAATGGCGTTACCCAGCATAAAATAGACTTTTAAGTTATCATCATCAACCGTGCATAACATCATCAAAAGATTCAGAGAATCTGGAACAATCGCTGTGCATAAGGGTCAAGGCCGCAAAACTCTACTGGATGCTCGTGATCTCCGGGCCCTTAATCACTGCACCTCAAACAGGAATGCCACTGTCAAGGAAATAACAGAACGGGCTCAGGAATACTTCCAGAAAGCATAGTCAGTGAACACAATCCACCGTGCCATCCGCCGTTGCCAGCTGAAACTCTACAGTGCAAAGAGGAAGCCATTTCTAAGCAAGCTCCACAAGCTCAGATGTTTGCTCTGGGCCAGGGGTCATTTAAAATAGAGTGTGGCAAAATGGAAGACTGTTCTGTGGTCAGATGAGTCACGATTTGAAGTTCTTTATGGAACACTGGGACGCCATGTCATCCAGACCAGAGAGGACAAGGATAGCCCAAGTTGTTATCAACGCTCCATTCAAAAGCCTGCATCACTGATGGTATGGGGTTGCTTGAGCGCTTGTGGCATGGGCAGTTTGTCTGGAAAGGCACCATTAATGCAGAGAACCATGTTCAGGTTCTAGAACAACATATGCTCCCATCTAGACATCTCTTTCAGGGAAGACCCTGCATTTTTCAACACGATAATGCCAGACCACATTCTGCAGCAATCACAACATCATGGCTACGTAGGAGAAGGATCTGGGTACTGAAATGGCCAGCCTGCTGTCCAGATCTTTCACCTATAGAGAACATTGGGCACATCATAAAGAGGAAGGTGCGACAAAGAAGGCCCAAGACGATTGAACAGTTAGAGGCCTGTATTAGACATGAATGGGAGAGCATTCCTATTTCTAAACTTGAGAAACTGGTCTCCTCTGTCCCCAGATGTCTGTTGAGTGTTGTAAGAAGAAGGGGGGATGCCACACAGTGGTAAAAATGGACTTGTCCCAACTTTTTTGGGATTTGTTGACGCCATGAAATTAGTATACAGATTTTTCCCTTAAAATTACACATTCTCAGTTTAAACTTTTGATCTGTGATTTGTGTTCTATTCTGAATAAAATATTATAAGTTGGCACCTCCACATCATTGCATTCAGTTTTTATTCACAATTTTTTTAGTGTCCCAACTTTTTTGGAATCTGGATTGCATTTACAGTCACGGCGGAGACTTGTGAGGGGGGGGGGGGTTCCTAGGGGGGTGTAACAGAAAACTAAAAAGCACTGGTGTAAGACATTTTCCATGTTCCCCCACTTTATTTTATCTTTATGTTATTGGGATTATTTTTCCAGAAGACTGACCTGCAGGGGAAGGCAACTTCTTTGCAGGCAGAAAAGAAATGGGACAACCCACAAAAAGAAATAAAAGTATGGAGGGATGCACCAATCCTTAAGGGGAGTGGTGGAGCAGAGGTCTGAGAAGGTGGGCCTGCGATCAGAAGATTGCCAGTTCAAGCCCGAGTACCGACAACATCAAAAATGTGGGTGGGGTAGGTGAAGCACCCACACCTGCCCCCTCATTCGTCCCACTCTGGGCCCTTGAGCAAGGCTCTTAACCCCCACCATCTGCTCCTCCGGGTGTCCTAGATAGCAGCTCTCTGCTCCACACAGAGGGCTGTGGTAGCTCGGTGGTCAGTAGTTGCGTCAGGAAGGACATCCCGAGTCAAAATAAATGCAAAATCTTCATGCAACTTTGTTCGCTGTGGCGACCCGTAACGCAGGGAGCACCCGAAAGGTAAAGGGGACTTAGACTAAACTAGGTTTTAATTAAAAGCTTGACTGGTATTAATTAGTCGGCACGTTTGATCTATGCAAATCACGCTACAATTTTAATAGACAGCTCAAACGGCGATAAGGTGAGAATTTAGTCCTTTATCATTTGGACCCTTCTTAATTAAGTCTAACTTTGGTACAAATGTCTTTTAAAACACCAACCAGTCGGCCACTAAGTTACGTTAGCCATAAGAACTTTTTTAATTGATGACTGTGCGCGACGCGTCGGCGCTAATGAACATCAAAAAGTGCGGACAAAAAACAAGAAGCACTTTTACCTTTCCTGCCTGCCGACACTTTTCTCTCCACGTCTGACACGCCGGACAACCGAGAACACAGAAAGCGACGCAAGCACCCAGCAGGACCAACAAAACCAGCAGGTCTGGGATGTTTGGCTCAAGAGGTCGGGTTGTGGTGGCTCAGAAGTTTATATAATGTGCGGGAGGGGGCAGCACACATCCGGTGTGCGTTCAGGTCAGGGGTCACAGCGGGGTCAGCTTAGACTCCAATAAAGTCCTGCAGCATTGATCCCTGAAAATCCCACACCTAAACCATAAGCCATAACATTTATTTTAGAACATTTCTGATGCTGTTGTTGTAAAAGGGACATTTGAAAACTTAGAAATATAAAAGTTAGGGGGTTGCCAGTGACTGTCTCTCATTTTCTCATTTTCAGGATAGACTATATCTTTTAACCCCCACATTAAAAAAGTTACCAGAACCCCTTTTTTCCACCTGCGTAATATCACTAAGATTATCCTGATGCATGCTCAATAATCCAGGTAGAAAAATCCAAAAAAGTTCAATCTGGTCCTCTGGACATTCAAAAAAACAAAACAAAACACAAAAATATAGAAACGTTTCGTCTCTCATCCAAGAGACTTCCTCAGTCTGAGGTGCTGTTTTCAGCTCAGTCTCTTAAATAGCACCTTCTCAGAGTGGATCAACCAGTTTGCTGCTAACAACAAAAACCAGCTGATCACATGCTCAAAAAGGACCATCAGCCTAACAATGGATCATTAGCACACTGATGGCTGCTTACTAATCACAGACGGCTGAGTGATACTAGCAATCACAGCATTGTAAGAGGGGGACAGTTGAACCCGGAGGCCCAGGGGCGGACTGGGACAATAATCCAGGCCGGGAATTTTGATACCATCCCAGGCCACCACCACCTGATTAACGCAAACCACCAAGACTGAGTTCAATTGAGCGCACTTTGAATGCATGTTGTTTGCACACGTCTAACTGAATACCTACATAAATCTTTCTTCTGTGGTGCAATAATCCGTCCTCAAATCACATAAACTGAAATTATGTTGCCCTATATTTTGCTATGCATAAGCCCTTTTAAAATCACTAGGAATATGACAGTCAATCATAGTTTCATACAACAAATGAGAGATCGTGTTGTACTACAGATGTGTTGTTTATTCTCCATCAAATCAAACACATTTTAAACATTAAACACATTTTTACTCACTTTTGTAAAAAAAAAAGATAAAAAACCTTATAAGAAGAAGAGATCCCTGAAGAAGAGATTATAAGAGAACCTTTCTCTTACCTGCTCCATTACGAACAAACATTAATTTATAGCACTTAGCAGCATCCGCGGCCAGAGCTTTTCTCTTTTTTATCCTCTCTCTCTCTGCTCCACCTTTCCTCTTCTTTGGCTGTCTCTGTTGCTCCATTCTACAACTCAGAGATGCACGCACCGCGCGCCAACACCGTCGGGAGCGCGAGTCCTAGGGCGGGGAGGGGGGCGGGCGCAATGTGTGTGTGTGTGTGTGTCTCTGCTCTGTGACACACAGAAAAGGAAGGGAGGGGGCCGGCCCGGCCGGGGGATGTGCCAGGCTTTCTCCGTCGCTGCAGTGCAGCGTGAGACCTGAGCCCAGGCAAAAGTGAATTGTTTATTTAAAATAATAAAGTCCGTGCGACCCGAACCGAGCCTTTAGTCCCGTTCCTCGGCAACCAGGCCACCGGGAAGTGTCCCGTCGTGCCCGACGGTGAATCCGCCACTGCGGAGGCCTCCACCCCTGTTTAATGATGGACGATTTCTTTTCACAAAGATGGCCTCCTTTACTCCTCTCTCAAACCATCGTTCCTCTCTGTCCAGGATGTGAACATCTTCATCCCTGAAAGAGTGACCGCTGGCCTGGAGATGAGTGGAGACCGCAGAATCCTGGCCTGATGATGTTGATCTTCTGTGCTGGGCCATCCTTTTGGCCAGTGGCTGTTTAGTTTCCCCGATGTAAGACTGACCACAGCCCTCCTGACACTGAACAGCATACACAACATTGCTCTGTTTGTGCCGGGGGACTGGATTCTGTTCTGTGTTCTGTTCTGTGGAAAGCGTGGTCCTGCTGCTCAGAGTGGTGTCTGATTTTAATCTTAAACTGACCACCTCTACTGCATCATCAACAGGAATGCACGTAAAGAGTGATGTGACATCAAAAGAGTCCATTGTTTCATCAGTGTCCATGATGACATGCCTCACCTTATCCACAAAGTCCATGGTGTTCTGTATGTGGTGTTCTGAGCTGCCAACTAAAGGGATGAGTACAAACCCCAGATATTTGGAAACATTGTAAGTGACAGAGTTAATCATGCTAACAATTGGTCTTAAAGGTAAACCTTGTTTGTGGATTTTAGGTAAACCATACAGATTAGGTGTGGCCTCCCCTGGGTACAGTCTGTGGTACAGAAAACGGTCAATAGCCTTGTCCTGCTCCAAAATTTTCAGGCAATCACAGGCAATCATAGGCACAGTTGTTCTGGCACAGGACAACTGTGTCAACTCTTGAAACTGTGCCTGCAGTCAACCTACTTCACATATGGGGAGCAATATTATAGGCAGAAACATGGGTGTGCTATGGGGTCTCCAGTTTCTCCTATTGTTGCCAACCTGTACATGGAGGAGGTAGAAAAGAGAGCCTTGACGTCCTTTTCAGGGACACCACCAAGTCATTGGTTCAGGTATGTTGACGACACCTGA